CTTTTATCATTTTGTTGAGAGCAAGGAAAACACAGGACAGTCATCCTTCATAGCGTTCAGCTAGTCCTTGACTTACGGTGCTTAATTTAGTGACCATTCGAAGTTACAATGGCACTGGGGGAAAAAAGTGATTTAGGATTGACTGTTTCTCTCCCTTACAACCATTGCAGCATTCAAAATTCAGATGTTTGGCAACTGACTCACCTTTATGACGGTTTTGCCATGTCCTTTTGTGACATTCTGACCTGGGAAGCCAGATTCCTTTCACAGCCACATTCCTCACCGAACCGGCAGTGATTCGCTTAATGACGGGGGCAAGAAAGGCCGTAAAATGGAGGCAACACTCCCTTCATGAATGTCTCACTTTGCAACACAACTTAGCAACACAAATGAATAGCAATGGCCCTTAAACCTTACATACTGCTTCACACTGCCTTACAGCCCTCTCTAAGCGATTTACAGGGTCGGCCTATTTCCGCCCCTCCCCCGACAATTTGGCTCCTCATTTTGGTGACCACGGAAGGATGGGAGGCCGCATCAGCCTTGAGCCAGTGAGACTTGTTCCATCGAACTGCTGGCCGTCGGCAATCGGCAGAACTAGCGTGCCATAACTGCCTTCTTAACCGCTGCGCCGCTGTGGCTCTTAAATTGATTAATGATGTATTCATTGAAACGATTGGCTCAACTGCGATTGTAAGTCGAGAACTAACTGAATTGTTTTTTTTTAAAATATGTCCAATCATAGGTGGGGCTAGGTCTTATAGAACGAAGTGTGACAATAACAAAAATGGGGAAAGTTTGGAGGTTTGGAGATCGGCAAGAGGCAGTCCAAAAAGTCAAGATGGCACCCGCAGGAGCCTGATGTACATCCAAAGGGGCTTTAGTGGCGCAGGGGCCTCTTGTGGTCCACCAGCTCTGCTGGCAGCAGACTCGGACAATGAGGAGATTGGGGAGGAGCTTGGGCTAGTCCTGGAGTCTGGGGAAGGCTGTGATGGATGCTCTGCATCGTAAACAGAGATGGGGCCAGCGCCATCCCAACATTTCCCAGCTGCCTACGGAGTCAGGGATAAGTGGGGAAAAAGAACAGCCAGAGCCTTTTCCAGATGCACGTATGTGCAGAGCTGTCAGGAGAGGAAAACAATTAAGGAACAGGGGCCAACTTGGAAAGAAAGGCACCCGTGGACGTTGAATGGACCCTCCCTGGGGAATAAATAGAAGCGAAAGGGGGAGTGGTTGTTGCAGAAGACAATAGTTCATATTTCTTTAGGAAGATTTGTTTATCAGACTTCGTGCCTCACAGAGACTCCTTGTCAGGAATGTAATTTACAGGGGTGGGATTCTTCCAGTTCAGATAGTTTTTGCCTTCCCAGAGTCCCGAGGGAAGCCTCTGGACTCTGGGGAAGGTGAAAAAACGGCCAAACCAAAAGTTATGGTAGGCCACGCCCACCATGGGCAGCGAACCGGTTGCTGGGATTTTTGAATCGCACCCCTGCTGCTAAGTCTGGGTCAGAACAGGGCCATCTTGATTTTTGATGGCCAGCGACACCTTGCGGATGCTACCTGAAAAAGAAGTAAGCCAAAGGGTGGCTGTGCTATCGCTGCCGCCATTCCGGAGCTGAGATTTGGAGTCGGTTGCTAGGTAACCATTTTTAGGTGGGGATGGGGGCATTGAGAAGACATGGGGGAGAAATCTAATGATGATTTTCTGTCTCCCCCCCCCCACCCTGTGATGAGGTGTTCTCTTTCCTGCAGCAGAAGTTGGCATCCGGATGGTGGACGACGGTGAGGGCAGAGGGGAGACGGGGCCCTCTGCAATGCCCCCTGTGAAGAAAAAGAAAGGACGGCCCCGGACCACCAACCCGGTCCCCAAGCCTGAAAGCAAAGCTCCCCCTCGGGTGACGCTGAAGATGAACCCACCAAAGTGTCCCGAGTGTGGTAAAAGCTTCCTCAGTAACGTGGCCATGACCATTCACATCCGGACGCACACTGGGGAACGTCCGTTCAAATGCCACCTCTGCCCCAAGGCCTTCCCCTCCCGGGGGGACCTCAAGAGACACATCAAGACCCACCTGCGCAAGAAGCCACCCCCACCGGTGACGCCCCGCAGCGGCTCCTCAAAAAAGAGCTTGGCGGCTAAGATGCAGCTGCAGTGTCACCTGCGCTGCCCCCCAGATCCGAAGAAGCCGCACAGCTGCACACAGTGTGGGAAGAGCTTCAACAAGAAGCAGAGCCTGCGCAAGCACCAGGGGACACACTCCACGGAGCGGCCCTTCGCCTGCCTGGAGTGTGGGCGCAGCTTCCGGCTCAAGCAGATCTTGGTGGCGCACATGGCCTCGCACATCAAGGAGCGGCCCTTCGCCTGTGAGCAGTGCGGGAAGTGCTTTGCCCAGGAGCGCAACGTGCGTAGCCACCAGCGGGTGCACACTGGGGAGAAGCCCTTCCTCTGCATGGCATGCGGGAAGCGCTTCGGCTACAAGCAGCACCTGGTCAAGCACCTGCGCTTCCACACCGGCGAGCGGCCCTACAGCTGCCCCGAGTGTGGGAAGACCTTCCGAGACAAGACCACACTGAACATCCACTACCGCATGCACACCGGCGAGCGGCCGTACCGTTGCCCGTTCTGCAGCAAGACCTGCCGGCAGAAGCAACACCTCAACAGCCACCTGAAGGTCCACCGTGGGGAGAAGCTGCCCCCAGGGGACACCACCGGGCTCACCTTGCAGAGGGCCCGTGCCAAGGAGAAGCCGTACGAGTGTCCGCAGTGTCAGAAGCGCTTCCGGGACAAGAAGATCATGCTGGTACACAAGAAGACCCACAGGGAGGAACCATTGCCACGGAGTGCCCCTCTGCAGAAAAAGTGGGGCCCATTTGTGGCAGATAGAAAGGCCCCCAGGGCAGGCCAAGGGGCAGGGAGGAAGAAGAAGGATGCGGGGCTCACCTCGGGAATGGCATCCATCCCACCGAAGATGGTTCCCATTAGTTGCACCAACTGCGGGAGGCGGTTCACGCAGAAGAAGTACCTGACACTCCACCAGAGGAGCCACAGGTGAGCTGCTTCCCGTAGGAATGTCATCTTCCATGAGGACCCTCGGATGATGGGACCTGCCGGAAAAAAATAAACTTTTGCATGGCAGCCATTGCGGAGAAGCTGCCAGTTTGGGACGTATTCTGCGCAGAACTGTGTAGACTCGGCACTGCAAGAAAAGTCTCTTTATTGCTGATGGCGGAACTGTTTCACCTGCGGCACTGCTTGGAAAAGAAGCACCCCTCCCCCACTCCTCCAGGAGTGAAATCCTCCAGCTTTTATTCCTGTCCTGTTAGATAAAGGGACAGCCGGCTGTTCTTCTCCCAGTCTTGAGAGCAGACAGTAGGTTTCAGCCCTGTGTATCTGTGTGTGTGTCTGTCTCATCTGAGCAACCAGGACCATCAAGATGAGCCTGGATTGGGTGACTGGGTCAAGCCTTCAGAAGGGCGTAACGCTCAGCTCAAAGCCCCCTCCCCCCAAAAACCTGAAGGGAACATTGTCTTATTTGATCTGTGAAAACTTTAGTGGCCATCCCAGTGGTGTTTCTCCCTAAATACAGGTAGCCCTCAGCATACAACAGTTGGTTTAGCGACCGTTCAAAGCAGGGGTGGTACGCTACCAGTTTGGCCCAATTCGGCTGATCCGGTAGCTCCGACGATCAGCTGTTTGGCTCACACACCCGCCCAGGTTCTAGGCTGTGCTTTATACCTTGTTTTTCAAGCACAGCTGATTGCTGCACATCCAGCTGCTTCACACCCAGGGATTGCTGGAGACAGTCATTAGCAAACGTGGAGCACGTGCTCGCCAAATTGGTCAGGAACATTTTTTTGAAAAACCACCACTGGTTCAAAGTTTTCTGATCCGCAGAGTCAAGGGGGTAGCTGTCAGGATTCCGGCAGTTACCCCATTTAAATCCAGAGTCTCAAGCCAAATTTCCAAAACTTCCAAAGGATTTATGGGGAGTTAATATGTTGGCACTGCCTGGGTGTAGCCGACTCTGAGACACATAATTCATTGTCACCCTTAACCCTGGTTTCCCCCCACCCCCGGGTGTATCATAATTTATATCCTCCAATGGGACACCTCCATAGCCCAGAGTCATCAATCATGCTCTCCAGTTAGGATTTTGTGCAGCAGAAACTTAAGTCACCTAGTTATTATCTCTGAAAACATTTATGGAATGCTGTTTTGGTTTGCAAACTGCCACACTGCTCCCCCTCCCTTTCTGTTGGCAACTCTAAAAAGACCATAGAGATAGTTGATGAGTTGACAGTTGCCAGATCACCTCTTAACAACTGTGTTATTAACTAAACAACTGCTGCGATTCAAGTTAACGGTGGCAAGAAAGGTCGTCGCACCAACTTAACCAACGTCCTGCTTAACCACAGAAATTCAGGGCTCCATTTGTGGTCATACGTCGAGGACTACCTGTATGCCAAAGGGTCCTTTATTCCTTCAAATGCCCTCTGATGTAGCTTTGCCATTCCCCGCACCCTAGAAGGTTTTCGGGATCCTGAGATTTTTGCTTCATGAGAAATTGCCGCAACTTTACCCCGATACAGGAACTTGTGTGTGGTTCACCAAAGAATCACATTTTGAATCCACTGCAATAAAACAGAATATGGAAGAGGAGGAAGAGGGGGAGGAGGATTGTGGAGTCCCTGGTGCTCTCTGACTTGGGTGGTTTTGTTGCAGATGTTTCATGACCCAACTAGGGAACACATCATCAGTGCTAGAAGGGAGTGGGAGGTTGAAACAGGAGCAGGAGGAGAGGGAGGGGGAGAAAGAAAGAAAGATAATCACCCTGAAAGTCGAGCACCCAAATCTGTTGATGACTGCCTGGGAGAATTGCGTGGTGTGTTCCCAAGGATGGTTGATCCCCAGATCCATTTTCAAAGGGGTATTGGATGCCAAAAACCCGGGTGCAAGAAAAGGGCCCGTCTGCCCCTCCTTTGCAGGGAGTAATTCCAGCCACAACAAATGGAAGAATTAACAGGTGAAAGGGAGGTCATGTAGTCCAACTCCCTGCTTGAGCAGGAGATCTTTACAGAATGACAGAGTTGGAAGGGACCTCGGAGGTCATCTAGCCCAACCTTCTGCTCAAGTAGCCCACCCTATACCATTTCAGACAAATCATTGTCTAGTCTCCTCTCAAAAATATCCTGGGGGTTGTTTGGTGCTCTCTGAGCTTGGTGGTTTTTCTTGCCAATGTTACACTACCACACTAGGTAACATCAGCGTGAGAAAGGAGTTGGCGATCTATTTTATGCCACTGATGATGTTACCCAGTTGGGTCACGAGGCATCGGCAAGAAAACACCCCATTCCGGAGGGGTAGCAAAGTTTGGTTGAATGACCATAGGACTCGCTTAACACACTGCATTGCTTAGCGACCAAAATTCTGCGCCCAATTGTAGGTGTACAATCAAGGGCTATCTGTAAGTTGAACCTTCTGGACTGTCTTCCAGGGCAGCCCCACGTAGAGCGCATTACAGTAGTCCAGCCATAATGGGGTATTAGTGTGTCTGAAGGGCCCTCCCATTTAGAAAAGGGGGCAGGGCAATGGATCCAAGAAGATCCTCTGCCTCAAATTGGTCGTGCCCACTTCCCCATCCAAAGAAAAATGGAATATCCCCAAATCTGGGCAGGCCAGACACCCCCTTCCATTGGTCGGCAATGATTCTTCCTCATCCAAACCCAGAGAACCAGCGTTTCCATAGCAATTCTAAGACGGGTGGACTTCGATTTCCAGCATTCCCCAGCCAGCATGAATTCTGGGAATGGAAGCCATGTTAAAAGCATGCCGGCTGAGGAATGCTGGGAGTTGAAGTCCACCTGCTTTAAAATGGCTGAGATGAAGGAAGACTTTTTTTGCAGGCACCGAGTGAGAAAGAAAAGAATGGCGCTGAATTGAATTACACACTCGGAAATCAGCTGTTTTGTTGCCCATTTTTGGTTTTTGGGAAGGGGAACCAAACTTTGGGTCGGAGACCCAGACCGCTTCGTCGATGGGCCAAAAGGAGGGGCAAGAAGACAAGGACAACTTTGCAGGACTGAGGCCCAAATGGGGCCCTTTTTTAAAAAAGCAGGCGCTGTTGCGGTTGCCAAATTCCCCCGCAAGAAAAGCCGAAAAATCACGGTATAACCCATAACAATGATTCACCAATTATTCCAAATGTATGAAATCATTTTCTCCCATTGTATTAAAAATTGCTATTCAAGAAGCAATTGGTGGGGAAAAAATTTTCGGGGGTGGGGGTGTCAATTTTGCCTTTTGGGTTGCAACGATCTGAACGAAATTTGGACAGCGACAGCGCCTTCATTGCGACGTCAATGTGCCCTTTTTCTGGAATCATTTCCCCCATCCGTGCCTGGCTCAGACGGATTTGGCCTTCCCCATTAGGATACAAGCAGTCCTCGACTTACAACAGTTCCATTAGTGACTGTCCAAAATTATGACGACCCTGGAAAAAAAACCTCTGTCTCTCACACTTACAACCGTTGCACTGTGCCCATGATCGCGTGAGCAATATTCAGACACTGCTCGTATTTATGATGGTTGCAATGTCCCTGGGAGGGGGTGGGTGTCACACGATTCCTTTTTGCGACCGTCTGGTGAACCGAATGAAGATTCAGATTCGCTTCAACAACTGCAGCAATTTACCTAACAGCTGTGGCCAGACAGGTCATCCGATGGGGCAAAATCCACTTAACAACTGTACCTCGCTTAGTAACATAAATCCAGGGTCCCTTGTGGTCGAAGACTATCTGTGACCCTTCCTCATCGTTCCAAGTTTAGCCACAGAAATGTTGGGCTCAATTGTCGTAAGTCGAGGACTACCTATTAAACCAAGTTTAATGATAGCCTCTGCCTGTTAGGGATCCACCACCCCACCTACTCAAGATGGTTGAATGGGTTCTGCCACTGGTTGGCCAAAGGGACGGTGGCCACGCAGAGTCCTTGGCACCTGCCCTTCACTCCAAGGTGGTTGGCTTCTCCAGGTGCAGCGCCTGGCAGGACGGTCAAATGGTAGGAAGGGGGGGGACTTGAAGCAGCTTCTAGGTGACGCCCCTCCAAAGCCACAGCCACACACATCTCCCCCAACCCTTCCTCCTTCCCTCCTTCTGCCTTATGCCCCACCTCCCTCTTTCTATTTCCTTCTTTAATTCCTTCCACCTCTGCCCTGTTTCCTTCCTTCCTTTTCTCTCTTTTTTTCTGCCTTCCCTCTCTCCCTCCTATCTCTTCTTCCTTCCTTCCTTTTTCTGCTTTGTGTCCGTCCCTCCATTTCCTTCTTTAATTCCTTCCACCTCTGCCATTTCCTTCCTTCCTTTCTTTCTCTTTCTTTTCTGTCTTCCCTCCCTCCCTCCCTCTTTCTATTTCCTTCTTTCCTTCCTTCCTTCCACCTCTGCCGTTTCCTTCCTTTCTTTTCTCAGTCTTCCCTCCCTCCCTCCTATCCTTTCTTTTTCCTCCCTCCCTTCCAACTCTGCCATTTCCTTCTTTCTTTCTTTCATTTTTGTCTTTTTTCTTTATCACTCCCTCCCATCCCTTCTTTCTTTTTCCTTCTTTCCTTCCTTCCACTGCCGTTTCCTTCCTTTCTCTTCTTTTCTTTCCTCCCTCCCTCCTATCCTTTCTTTTTCCTCCCTCCCTCTGTCCCTTCCACCTCTGACCTGTTTCTTCCTTCCTTTCCTTTTTTCTCTTTTTCTTCCTCCCTCCCCTCCTTCCAGCTCCTCTTTTTCCTCCCTCCCTCCTTCATTTCCTTCCATGAAATGGAAGTACTGCTGAGGATTCCTGGTCAAAGAAAGGGCCACAGATCGGAGTATTTGCAATCAGCCCTCCCGTTTCTCCTTGTAGGAAGAGGAGCCACAGAACTTCTCTCTTCCCTTCCTGAAACAATCAGAATAGAGCTGGAAGGGACACTGGAGGTCTTCTAGTCCACCCTTGTGCTCAAGCAGGAGACCCTTACTGAATCGTACAGTAGCAGAGTTGGAAGAGACTTCAGAGGTCATCTCGTCCAACCCCCTGTTCAAGCAGGAAGCCCTCTTGCATTTCAGACCCCTTTCTGGCTTCCTTGCCTATGGCAGACCTGGAGAAAGGGAAAGGTTCCCCTCGCACATCCGTACTAGTTGTTTCCAGCTCTAGGGGGTGCTGCACATCTCCGTTACAAAGCCGAAGAGCCAGTGCCATCCAAAGATGTCTCCGTGGTCATGTGGCCTGCAGGACTAAATGCTGCCGAAGGTGCAGGGAACGCTGTTACCTTCCCACCAAAGGGGTTCCTATTTTTCTACTTGCATTTTTTACGTGCTTTCGAACTGCTAGTTCGAAACTGGGACAAGGTAATGGGAGCTCCCTCCGTGATTCGGTGCTGGGGATTCGAACCGCCGAACTGCCAACCTTTCTGATCGACAAGCTCAGTGTCTCAGCCACTGAGTCTCCACGTCCCTAGGTCCTCTTTATTATTCTCATTATATAAAATTGCGTATTTTATTAATCCCCCTCTCTCTAGTGTCCATCCCTATTCTAACTTTGATTATGCCACTACTGTATTTAACCATATTCCCTTTCTAACCATCATCTCTTAATCGCTTTAAAACGTTAAGTGTGCATTTCTTAGCTTGCCTCCCATATTCCTCTTGGATCTTTATTTCTGCTTAAATACCAACGTATTTCTGAGCTGGATTCTTATCAACTGAACCACCGCGTCCCCTGGTCATCCCCTGGCACATCTGGCCATCTCCCCCCCCCATAAAATCTCATGGTCCTGCGACTTCCGGTTTGAAGGGCTTCGGCAACAGACAGGAATCCATGATCGTGCGCGGTTTCTGCCTGGGCTCGCTGCTGGAGCGCCCCGAGCCAGCTGGCTTTGGGGCTAAGCCACCCCGTAGAGGTGGTGAAGAGGGGGGAGATCACCAGCAGGGTCGAGGAGAGCCACATCTCTCCTCCTCAGCTGGTCAAACTCCCTTTCCCAAAGGCGGTAGGAGCGGTGGTCAGAAATGGCTGCCTCAAAGAAGAACTCAACCGGAAAAGAAAGTGCAGGAGGAAGATAAGTGAAAGTTTTGGCTGACCGGGTTAAGCTGAAAAAACAACAATTAAGGTACTCTGGAATTTAAATTTTACAAAAGACAACATCGCTCCCAAAGAAGGTCGGAAGCAGCGAAAGACAGTGAAAAGGGAAAGGGTTTTTTTTTCCTTCTCTCTCCTTCCTTACATTGACAACTAAGAGATCGGAATAAGAAATTGGAAAAATCCACTTTGGCCTTAATAGGCAAAATATAACTAAATGCCAAAGGGACAATAAAGATTTCTGGACATTAAAAACTTTTTCTTCTATAAGCAGGAAGGGAGAGGAAAAGAATAAGGGTAGGATCTGGAGGGAGAAGACTGCCTGGACTTCAAAAGAATCTAAAGTAAAAGTTCAACAAGACTTCTAAAAGATACATTTTAACTGAGATTTTGCAACTAAATAGTAACACCAGGAAGAGAAAGTGTAAAAAGAAACAGCTGTGTATATTTGGACTGTCTGGTGACTTTTGGATTTTTGGTTATTATATTTGAATGATTAAAATTAATTGGGTGGTTGTTTAATTTTTTTTTACAATGGCATAACTTCTGGATGAATTGAAAATGGAACTTAAAAAATACAAAGAAGAGGCACAAGAAGGGAAGGGTTCTTTTGGCTTCGTTTTTCAATTCTTAGAAATGGAGATCTGCAACTATGAGAAGCAACAAGAAAAGACTGCAAAACAAGAAGACTGGGACAAAGAAGAAGCCATCTTTAATGAACAAGTAACTCTATGTGGGGAAGAAAGGGGAAAGAGAATGGAGAATTTAAGACCTAAAAAAACAGCCAAAGAAGGGGAAAATAATTTGAAAAGTAGATATAATGTTGGAAAGCAACAGAAAAGGGGAACACAGAAGAGGAAAATGGAGGTGGAGAGACAGGGGGGTAAAAAGGGGAGAGAGAAGAAGAGAGGGAAGAAGGAAAGGAAGAGAAGTTATAAAGGTTTGGAGCAAGATGTAAAGAAACAGGACCTATTTAGAGATAATGGGTGAAAATCTAACTGAAAAAGGGATTCTGTGAAGATACATAAGATTGTATTGTTATGAATTAGCGGAAACTTCTGGTTTGCAGGGCTTCGGCGGCAGGCAGGAATCCGCGATCGTGCGCGGTTTCTGCCTGGGCTCGCTGCTGGAGCGCCCCGAGCCAGCTGGCTTCGGGGCTAAGCCACCCCGTAGAGGTGGTGAAGAGGGGGGAGATTGCCAGCAGGGTCGAGGAAAGCCGCATCTTTCCTCCTCAGCTGGCCAAACTCCCTTTCCCGAAGGCGGTAAGAGCGGCGGTCAGAAATGGCTGCCTCAAAGAAGAACTCAACCGGAAAAGAAAGTGCAGGAGGAAGATAAGAAGTGAAAGTTTTGGCTGACCAGGATAAAAAGCAAAAACTAAGGTACCCTGGAATTTAAATTTTATAAAAGATAACATCGCTCCCAAAGAAGAGTCGGAAGCAGCGAAAGAAAGTGAAAAGGGAAAGTTTTTTTTCTTCACTCTCCTTCCTCACATTGACAACGAAGAGAGCTGAATGAGAAATCGGAAAAATCCGCTTTGGCACCAATAGGCGAAAGGAGGAGGAAGGAGGAGACTGCCTGGAATTTAAAAGAATCCAAAGTTAAATCTTAATAAGACTTCTAAAAGATACATTTTAACTGGAACTTTGCAACTAAATAGTAACCCCAGGAAGAGAAAGTGAAAAAAGAAGAAAGTGTAAAAAGAAACAGCTTGTGTGTATTTGGATTGCTTGGTGACTTTGGGACTTCTGGAAATTATATTTGAATGACTAAAAACAATTGGGTGGTTGTTTAAAAAATTCTACAATGGCATCACTTTTCGATGAACTGAAAATGGAATTTAAAAAATATAAAGAAGAGACACAAGAAGGGAAGGGCTCCTTTGGCTCCGTTTTTCAATTCTTAGAAATGGCGATCTGCGTCTATAAGAAACAACAAGAAAAGACTGTGCAACAAGAAGATTGGGACAAAGAAGAAGCCATCTTTAATGAACAAGTAACTATCTGGGGAAGAAAGGGGAAAGGGGAGAAAGAGAATGGAGAATTTAAAACTTAAAAAAACAGCCAAAAAAGGGAAAAATAATGTGAAAAGTGGATATAATGATGGAAAGCAACAGAAAAAGGGAATACAGAAGAGGGAAATGGAGGTGGAGAGACATGGGTGTAAAAAGGGGAGAGAGAAGAAGAAAGGGAAGAGAAGTTACAAAGGTTTGGAGCAAGATATAAAGAAACAGGACTTATTCAGAGATAATGGGTGAAAATTTAACTGAAAAAGGGATTCTGTAAAGGTACATAAGATTGTATTGTTATATTTGTAATAGAAATAATGTTAGAAAATTGGAAACAACATATGATTAAAAAGTGGGATAAAATAGTCAGTGTAATTTAGTGAAACTTTTGTGAACAAAACAAATGAAATAAAATAAATGAGAGAATTGAATTAGGAAGGAATGGGAACATTTTAACTACTCAATGTTTTATAAAATATAAGTGAAGTGGGGGGGAAGTAGCTATGGAAAGTTTATAAGTGTTCCCATAGAAATACGATACTTATTTGAAAAGTAATGTGTAAAATGTTAAGATTTAAATGAATATTAATATTAATGATAGAATTGAATTGGAATGGATTGTTGTTTTAATTATATTATATATTTATAATTTTTTCTTTTTTCAAGAATACAATGTGTAGTTTTAGAATGTGCCAAGCAGAATCCGAACGGAAGTTATGTATTATATTAAGTGTTACAATTTTAGGGGAAAGATATAAAGGCGTCATACTCCAATCAGTGATTACAGGAGAAATTTTGTTTAATGAGAAAAGATAAGAGACAGTTAAAACAGGACAGACAAAGAATATAAGTACAATGATTTGAATTGGGATGAAATAAATAAAATAAAATTAAGAAAGTTAAAAGAGGGGAGAAGCTATATAGAAAATGTAGAATAGTAATAAGATATGGAATGGAATATAAAAATGAGCATGAACTTGAATTTGTGTCTGTACGAAGAGATGTAACCCGGGATTATGCTGCTTTCAAAAAAGATGTTTTACTTGTATTTTTTTCTTTTTGTGAAAACTCAAATAAAACTTACAAAAAAAACAAAACCTCACGGTCCTCCCTTCCCAGCGGAGACCCCAGGAGATGCGAGAAAAGAACCGGAAACTGCTGAAAATGGTTTATTGACAGGTGAAGAAGAGGAAGACTGAGCAAGGCTGGAGAATTTTCAGTGGAGTGGGTGGGCACCCCGGTTTGGATCCGCGGTGGAAGAGGAGAGGTCAACGTTTGGAGAGGTCACCACCTGAAATGAAAAGACAGGAAGCCGGGAGGTGGGGTCCGGGGGGGGGGGAGCATGGAAAACGGGACTCCCCGAGCACCGTTTTCCCTGGCAGAAGACTGCTGCAGGCCGTCCCACCCAACGGAGAACCATTACCTTGGCAGCTGCTGCATTCACACCCGCGGATAACCGGCAAGACCACAGGCTCTGTCTCGCCGCCCAGGCACTGCAAATTCAGGATGCGCACCGGACTAACCGGATCCAGTTGGTAGCTGCAACAGTCACAGACGGTCTCCAGGTAGGGTTCCTGCGGAGGACAAACCAGGTGAGGGGTTCCTCCAGGAACTGCGAGTCGTACGAATCTCGGGCGGGCTGGAGGTGGTGGGGAACCAGGGTTGTCTTACCTCTGGGATGACGTTGGTGTGGGAGGCGCACTGCCCCTTGCAAAAGCCCACCTCCACGCCGGCCAAGAAGCAGAGCCCCTTGGTAATGTTGCGACGTTCCGTAAAATGTCGGCAGTGCGGGTGAGGTTCACCTGTCGGGGCAAAGAAAGGGTGACCAGCCTGGCAGAACCCAGGGCGAATCCGGACACCCAGGTGGGATGGCTTAGGAGGGAAGATGGGGTCCGAATAGGCCACCTCCCCAATTGGCAGATGGGTGGGGTCCAGGAAGGAACAAGGATTGGACGCCCCAACTTTAGGGCTTCTGGCCTGCTGACGAAAGCGACTGGTTTGATCTTTTTGGGTGCCCCGAGGGCATTTCCACTGCAGAGGAAAAGTGCCTGTCTTTCTCCCTCACCCTCCCTCCCTTCCTCAGCTTCCTTCCTCCTGCTGCCTTTTTTCTTTCTTTTTCCCTTCCTTCCTTCTCTCCTTCCTTCCTTGCTTCTTTCCTCCTTTCCTCCTTTCTCTTTCCCCCTTTCCTTCTTTTTCCTTCCTTCCTTCTTTCTTACTTTCCTCACTCTTTCTCCTTCCTTCCCCCTTTCCTTCTTTCTTCTTCCTTCCTCAGCTTCCTTCCTTTCTGCCTCTTTCTTTCTTTTTCCCTTCCCTCCCTCCTTCCTTGCTTCCTGGCTTTCTTTCTTTCTCTTTCTTTCTTTCTTTCTTTCTTTCTTTCTTTCTTTCATCTCCTTTCATTTTCCCTTCCTTCCTTCTCTTCTTCTCTCCTTCCTTCCTTGCTTCTTTCCTACTTTCCTCCCTCTTTCTCTTTCCTTCCCCCTTTCCTTCTTTTTCTTTCCTTTTCTTTCTGGGGGCAGATCTGTTCCTTCGGCTCCTTTCCTGCCGCTGAGCCTGCCTGCTTCCTCTTAGCCGCCCCACCACTTCCCCTGACTCACATACCGACCAGCTCCTTCCGACAGACGGGGCAGCAAGAGCCCGGCTCCTGCATTTCGACTTCGCCCTGAGGGCAGAAGAGAAAGGGGTGATTTTTCTTCCCCCACTTGTGGGTGGGATGTTGAAGGACGGACTCGAACCCAGGTCTACTGTCAGACCTGCGGTTCCTGGGGGGCAGACTGGAGGAGGTTGGGATGAGGGAGACCGTTGACTTCCCCCCGCCCCCCCCGAAGGGATGGAACAGAATGATGGGTCCCCGGGGAGGAAGCACCTCGAGGCAGACAAGGGGCAGACAGCTCGTCTCGCACAGCGCCCGGCCGTTCACGCAGCGGCAGACTTCGCAGCCCTTGTGCCATTCTGCTCCGGCCTGTGGAGAGAGGGAAAGAGAGAGAAAGAAAAGGGGGTGGTAGGCAGGTAGGGTCCCGCAGAAGGGGGCTGTTTCCCAGGGGGGTGATGGGGAGGGGGCCCTTCTCAAGCTTTGCAGGGGTGAAAAGGGGTTGAGATTGGGAGATAATAGATAGATGGAGGTTAGATGAGAGAGACAGAGACAGATGACAGAGATAGAAAGATAGGATAGAGAAAGAGAGAGAATGATGGATACATATAGATGATAGAGATATAGAGAGAAATAAGAGAGTTAACAGATAGATGATATAGATAATAGATAGATAAAGATAGATAGATAGATAGATAGATAGATAGATAGATAGATAGATAGATAGATAGATTAGATAGATTAGATAGATTAGATAGATTAGATAGATAGATAAATAGATAGATGGATGGATGGATAGATAGATAGATAGATAGATAGATAGATAGATAGATAGATAGATGATAGATAGATAGATTAGATAGATAGATAGATAGATGATAGATAGATAGATAGATAGATAGATAGATAGATTAGATAGATAGATTAGATAGATAGATAGATTAGATAGATATAACAGCTTGCCTTTGGAAATCATGGGAGCACCATCACTTGAGACCTTCAAGAAGTGATTGGACTGCCATTTGTCAGAAATGGTGTTTGATGTAGGGTCTCCCGCTTAGACGGGGGTGGGGTGGGGGTTGGACAAGATGACCTACAAGGTCTCTTCCAATTCTGTTAATCTCTTGTCTGAGATGATGGATAGCTCAATATATATACAGTATATAGAAAGAACGATATATATATATATATATATATATATATAGAGAGAGAGAGAGAGAGAGAGAGAGAAAGAGAAAGAGATGATGGATGGATGGATGGATGGATGGATGGATGGATAGATAGATAGATAGATAGATAGATAGATAGATGATAGATAGATAGATAGATAGATGGATAGGTATAGATAGATTGATGATAGATGGGGAGAGAGAAAGATGATAGATAGATAGAGAGATAGAAGTTGATGAATGAATGAATGAATGAATGAACATATAAATAGGAGATAGGAAGATGGAGATGATAGATGGTAGACATATGGATGGATGAATGGAGAGAGAGAGATGGAGATAAATTGATAGATGTATAGATAGAGATATGGATGGAGAGATAGATGGATAGATATAGATAATAGAGAGAGAGATGATAAATAGAGAAAGAAAAAGATGGAGATAGACATATAGAGAGAAAAGAGAGATGATAGGTATAGATAGATAATAGATAGGTAGGTAGATAGATATAAATATATAGAGAGATGATGGACAGGTATGGAGATGAGAGAGAGATGATGGATAGATAGAGATTATATAAATAGATATGGATGAACAAATGAAATGAATGAATGAATGAACAGATATAAATAGAAATAGGAAGATGGAGAAGATGTATGATTGACAGATGGATGGATGAATGGGGGGGGGGGAGAGAGAGAGAGAAAGAGAGATGGAGATAGATGCATAGATGCATAGATAGACCAAAATAGAGATATGGATGGATGGATGGATAGATAGAGTGGTAGATAGAATACTAATAACAATACTAATAAAATAACAATAACAACAATAATAAAAACACAGCTAGATTAATTGTCCCTGGCCTGAGTAACTAAACCCCTCTTGCTCTCCCGCCTTCCATTTTACTCACCGAGTACACCTGGTCTCCCTCCTCACATTCGCAGCGGGCAGCCACCACGCAGTGCCCGCTGCCATTGCGGTAGTGCCCGGGCAGACACGTGCATCCATCCCGTGCCATCCCCCAGCTGCAGTTCTGGGCAAGCTCGTCGTAGACCTGACGGCAGCTGCGCTCACAGGCAGTCGGCAGAACGGCAGGGTGCCGGCGTTCGCCCTCTGGACAGGCTGGCATGGGGAGGAAGGGAGGGAAGAGTCACACCAAGTGAGTCAGAGCTAGGAAAGACCCCCTCTCTTTGAACTCCCCCCCTCTCTCCCCTGGGGTGGGATTCAGCCAGTTTGCACCAGTTCGGTAGAACCAGTTGCAAATTATTTATTTTTTATTGTGGTGGAGTTCGGTGAACCGGCTGAATCCCACCCCTCTTCCCACCCGGCAAGCAGCCAGGTCAGCTAAGAATTCCCCAGCTGAGCAACAGACTTCAACTCCCAGAATTCCCCAGCTCAGCAATATTTCTCTACCGG